TGGTGTCCCTAGCCTCTGTTTGCCAGAAGCTGGGAATGGGCGACAGGGGATGGATCACTTGATGATTACCTGTTCTGTTCATTCCCTCTGGGGCACTTGGCATTGGCCACTGTGGAAAGACAGGATATTGGGCTAGATGGACCTTTGGTCTGACCCAGTATGGCCATTCTTATGTTCTTAAGAAAACATGACAACGTGTAGATGATCTGACTCATGTAGGCCTGTCAACAGGGACAGAGCTAGTTTCCTTTGAAAGTTTGCTAAGAGCTTCCTGCTGATGCTATAAAACAGATCTTCTAACTTGAGTGAGGGCATATTTTTCCAGACTCCTGTCCGATACAGTGGCTTTTTTCCCCTCCCTCAGTCTTGTCAATTACTCAATATTCTGTCCTATCAAAGAATTTTATTTTTCAGAGTCAGAACCTTCAAAAATCAACCTAAAGATAATGAGTAGTGCATTCTTAGCAACAGTTAGGGAGTGGTGAATTTTGATCTGCTATAAAATATGGTATGTCGTTCATATGGAATGTCTGTCATAAATGACGTTACCATATTTCTCATGACCTTGAAACTTGTAACTTGCATGTGAGGGACAAGATAGTTGCCATCAATATCATTTCCAGCCTGGTGCTTCAGCAGGAGGAGTTGATTACAATCCAACTGTGATTCACCAGCAACGGAATGAAGAACAATACTGTCCATTGTGTGCCCAGAAACAGGGAGCAAGGACAGGGAATAACATCCCTTATTTCTCCCGACATGTCGTCTCCTCCAGGATCTTGTTGCAATACTTAGGATGGGAATAGGGATTGTTAGCTACGCCAGAGCTTGCCTCTTGCCATGTGATGTGGTGGCCATGCAGCAGCACACACGGTATATGGCTTTGGGTCATTGAGAGCTCACTCATATACAAGCCTGACATTTGAGTCATTCTCTTCTAATTGCTCCTGGACTGGCATCTTGTGCCACTTTCTTTGAAGCTCTGCAAGGCAATAACATCTGCCAAGTGAACATGAGCATATTTTAGGGCAGAACATATTAAATGCTGCTTCATCTGAGTTGCCCTATGTGCACTTTCAGGCTTTACACTGAAAACTTAAAAATCAGTACTTTGGTCAGTAATCCCAGCAACACTTGCATTTGCTCGTATTTCACAGGCATCTAAAGGACCAGGGGGTACATTGTGCAATCTTGGTGAAGGAGATATCGTAGGGCGTCAGTTCTTCAATGTATAATGCCCCCAAAGAATCCTGGGTATAGCTAAACATAGAGAGGTGACATGAAATAGAAAAAATAAAATATAATTGAATAATTAGTTGTAGTTGCTGCTGACTTGCACCATCTGAATCTAATGGACTCTTCACAGCAGGGTAATTTGTTCATTTTTTTGGATCCAAATGGGTGAGTAAATAGAAGCTTAATTCACTTGTGAGCTCCCACCTACCTCAGAAAACTGGGACTTGAGTCTTGCAGACTCAGCTGGAAAAAAGGTGTCTTCAAAGCAACATTACTGTACTGGAGCCTCTGTCTTGAGCATCATAGAATCATAGAATCTCAGGGCTGGAAGGGACCTCAGGAGGTCATCTAGTCCAACCCCCTGCTCAAAGCAGGACCAATCCCCAACTAAATCATCCCAGCTAAGGCTTTGTCAAGCCTGACCTTAAAAACCTCTAAGGAAGGAGATTTCACCACCTCCCTAGGTAACCCATTCCAGTCCTTCACCATGCTCTTAGTAAAAAAGTTTTTCCTAATATCCAACCTAAACCTCCCCCACTGCAACTTGAGACTATTGCTCCTTGTTCTGTCATCTGCTATCACTGAGAACAGTCTAGATCCGTCCTCTTTGTAACCGCCTTTCAGGTACTTGGAAGCAGCTATCCAATCCCCCCTCATTCTTCTCTTCTGCAGACTAAACAATCCCAGTTCCCTCAGCTTCTCCTCATAAGTCATGTGCTCCAGCCCCCCAATCATTTTTGTTGCCCTCCGCTTCTGGAAGAACCTTCCCACGTGCTGATTAAAAACAATCTCCCAGACTCACCAAGCCTGCCAGAAGTTCTGTGGGATAGTTAGACAGAAGGGAGGCCAGGAATTACTGTGGTCAACTCCTTCCTGGGTAATGAACTGGCTAAAAAAGACATGCCGTGGCAATGCGTGTTCCGCTAGTCCCATCTGTGATTCAGGTAGGGAAGAACAAAGTGGGACTTCAGGTGGGTAAATTCCCTTTGCCTCAGCAGTTTGTTCTGGGAGGCAGAGGGGTGCTGAGTGCTCTTAGTTACAAATGTTTGCTGTAACAGAGGAACTTCATCCCAGTCCACTTGGTCAGCCTGCAGCTTCTAGTCCAAGCTTTTAAAACTTGCCTGAAGACCTTGCTCAGTTAGAGCCTATTCCAGTCCACTGAAGCCAATAGAAAGCATCCAGTTGACTTCAATAGATTCTGAATAGAGCCCACAGCTGGACCATTTTCTAAGTTACGTCCCAACCTTCTGAAGTTGCCTGAGCCAAGCCTCAGTAGATTGTGTGAAAGGAGATCGCAGCTCATTGTGGAGGAGTTGCCGTAGTCTTTGGATTTGGATTCAGAACTGAACACGAGAACAGATGTCTGCAAGGACTGCAGACTAGGCTGGATACCAAGAGAGTGAGGCAGGGAGAACATGTGCATGTGCTACATACAGAGAGAGAAAAGGGATTAAGTGATTCAACACAGTGCTTCTGCAAGTCATAATTTTAAGGCTCAGAAGCCTCATTAAAATTAGCTTTGACAGATGCTTAATTTTATTGCCACTTTCCCGAATAAAATTTGAGTTCTATCCTATTAGGAAGATGGCTTTTTTTCTTCATTCTGAAACCAGCATCTAATCTGAACTCTGTGTCTGTGGGTATGTTTTCACACCACATCCTTTAGAGAATTGATCAGAAAGAAGTAGTTTCTCTAGCTTGGCACTTTGTTGTATAAGGATCTAACACAATTAATGTCTAACCTTTTGTTCAGTGTGTGTGAATAGCCAGGTGTTCTATAAACAAGCCTGATGATTTATGCAGCCCATTACAGAGTGTTGTTAAGGGGGAGAGAGTCCCCCTACTTCCCCATGCTATTAAAGATGCATGATAAGCAAAGTTGGAGGTGTAGCTCTTTTGCGCTGAGTCATATATGCACATTTATATAAAAATGTGAATGCTGCCTTTAGACTCATAGACTCATAGACTTTAAGGTCAGAAGGGACCATTATGATCATCTGGTCTGACCCCCTGCATGCTGCAGGCCACAAAACCGTCCCTACCCTTCCCTTGATTCTGCTGATGAAGTCCCCAAATCCTGTGTTTTAGTGACTTCAATTGGCAGAGAACCCTCCTGCTAGTGACCCCTGCCCCATGCTGCGGAGGAAGGCGAAAAACCTCCAGGGCCTCAGCCAATCTACCCTGGAGGAAAATTCCTTCCCGACCCCAAATAGACAAAGAAAGCTAGGGTAAACTCAATCTAGGGCCTAAATGGAGTAAGGTGTAAAGAGACATGCATCTCTGCTTTGTGTTCAGTTAGGAGGAACATGAAGTGGGAGTATCAAGAATGTCAAGGGGCAACTGACCTTTGACCTTGTATAACATTTATGTGTGTGTGAGAGAGGCTTTAAAATGTGCTAGTCTGGAAAGTAACACTTGAGAATTGGCATTATGAGGCTACAGGCTTGTTCTCTCAATGACTCCAGATCAAATCTACTCAGTGTAGAGTGTTCGTGTTTTCTAACTGCCATCCTGTAGACTTCCTCCAGAATCTGAGAATCAAGCTGGGTTCTTTCCTTCTTGCACACCATTGCCAGCAATGAATATGTTTCAGGCCACATCAGCCCTCAGAGACACCATCAGTGGATTTTCACAAGTGTTTGGAACTTGGTAAACAATTCCATTGCTCATTGCCCAAGGAGTAGACTTTCCAGCTCCCTCTTCGTTGTTTTGGCTCTGGAGGGCTAACGGAAGTAAAAAAGTAGTAATATTGTCCAGTCCACTGAAGTCAGCAGATCTGACTCATGTACAGATGGGGATGGAGGACAGACTTTACCGAGTAGCAAAGGGCCATTTCTACATAGTAATTCTCCTCTGAAAAACTGCCTGACTAGCAAAACATTGAGCAGACTCTCCATAGGTGTGCAGATGAGTTAACAAAAAACAAAACCAAAATCGCTAGCCCTGCAGAGTTTACAACAAGGGCAGGTCTACACTAATCCCCCCAATTCGAACTAAGGTACGCAACTTCAGCTTGTGAATAATGTAGCTGAAGTTCGAAGTACCTTAGTTCGAACTTACCTCAGTCCAGACGCGGCAGGCAGGCTCCCCCGTCGACTTCGCGTACTCCTCTCGCCGAGCTGGAGTATCGCAGTCGACGGCGAGCACTTCCGGGTTCGACTTATCTCGTCCAGACAAGACGTGATAAGTCGAACCCAGAAGTTCGATTTGCTTGCCGCCGAACTACCGGGTAAGTGTAGACCTACCCTAAGTTACAAGGTATTTTATCTATTTCAGTGCCGACGGCATGCTAAACTTTATACAGTCCTTGTCCTGAACATCTTATGGAGTGCTATGCTAATGTAGAATGGCTTTCAAATAAATGGGTATGGGTTGACAAGCCCTGGGAAAGGAGGTGGTTTGAGAGGGACAAAGGTTGTGGGACAAGATCATGAGATGCTTTTGTTATGGGCACGCCTTATTGGATCCTTTCTTAATGTATAGTTAGTGTTCAGGGGAAAATATGACCTATTTGGGTTTTTGAGGAAAGTCAGTTGAGAGCAATTCCAAGGAAGTAGAAATCTATTACAGTCCATGGATGGCTAAATGATGGTAACTGAGCCACCTGAGAGATAAGAAATCTGAGTATGGTCCCCAGGCTGGTGGGATTGGAGGACAGTGTCGGGGAATGCGGGTGTGGGTACATCCCTGTCACCCGCAAGCTAAAATATTGATGCAAATTGCTGTCCTTGGTAACTTCCTTCTTCCCCATTCCTATGTTGCAGTTCTTCACCTCCCGGAGTGTTTGAGAAAGAATATGAAATATACCGGGATTACAATGCAGAAGGTCAACTTCTCCACTACAGGTAGCTGGAATTTATCTACAGTAATGGGGCTTTGTCTTCTGAGAATGACTGAAATGTAAACACTGCCATATTGTGTGTGGGATTGGGGACGCTATTTGTGAGTGTGTCTGTGTGGGGAAAGCAAACTTCATGTAGCAGGAGGTATTGAACGCCTTCTCTCTTTATTTCTTTTGATCTTCCTTTGTAAACTTTGGCTCCCTAATGTAAGGATGAGAATGTTGTCTCCTGGTTACTTAGAGTGGAAGCTCTTTGGGACAGGAATTGTTCACGACTGTGTTTGTATAGTACCTACCACGGTGTGGGCTTGGTCTGGGTTGGACCTTAGGCACTAGCATAATAAACATGATAACAATGGTTAGAGCAGGGCATTTGGAGCCCTGGGCTGGAGGCAGTTTGGTGACTGGGCTGGGAATGGAATGTAGGAGTTTCCTTGTTCTCAATCCTTTAGACCAGGGGTCAGCAACCTCTCAGAAGTGGGGTGCCGAGTCTTCATTGATTCAGTCTGAGTTAAGGTTTCACGTGCCAGTCATACACGTTAATGTTTTTAGAAGGTCCCTTTCTATACATCTATAATATAGAACTAAACTATTGTTGTCTGTAAAGTAAATAAGGGTTTTTAAATGTTTAAGAAGCTTCATTTAAAATTAAATTAAAATGCAGAGCCCCCACTGAAAATCAGCTCGTGTGACGCCTTCGGCACACGTGCCATAGGTTCCCTACCCCTGCTCTAGACCCCGCTGCCTCGCCAGTGTGTTTGATTTCTTTCCTGCTGAGCATGGGCTGGATAAGACAGTAGCAAATATTCATTTATGGGAGTGATTATTCTGTGTGCATTTCAGAGGTTATAAACATTGTACTTCAGACAGAAGGCTGCCGGTCTGTTTCTTCTATGCTGTAATCTTGTTGTTTGAAATATGCTCAACTGCTTACATTAGGATTTTGTATAAGAAATTATCAATATTTGCTTTGATTTCTCATTAATGGTAAAACTCGATATTAAAAAAGCAGAGGGGGAAAACCCCACCTCCATATTCTCTGCTTGCTGCTCACAAAGCCCTGTAAGGCTAATGGGACTCTCACATCAAGAGGAAAATGGGGACCCATTTCAGGAATTATGCAGACTCCAGCAGCCTGGAGCTCTGTCAGTCACTGCTGCCTTCTCAGTGAGCCTGCAGCTTGCCAGGATCTGCCATGCCATCACCATGGGACCGGTTTTTGTTGGCTTTCTGAGGTTTTGTTTGGGGCTGTAGGTGTTTGTTTATCTGGGTTGTCTGTCTCGTCAGAAAGTTCAGTTGGTTTCAGGCACAGATCTTCTGCCACCAGCCTCCTCAATCTCTACAGGCAGAGGAGTTGGAGGCTTCACCTGGAGGAAGGGAAGATAACAATGCATAATGTCAATCATATCTCTAAGTAGAGACAGCCCATGGTAAGAGTGTCTAGCACTTCTGCACACAGTGCACCTTAGAACTGTGGTTGAACCAGTGCATTGTTTGTCCTCCAAACACAATGCACTGCATTGGGAGGTATGGCTAAATCGCTACAGTTGTAGCATTGATGGCTTCCTGGCTGTTCTAGGCAGAAGCTGTTGAAGACTACATGCGTTCAGCTAAGCCACATACTTGCATTACAAGCTGACTTGTGAAATGCTCTACGTGGTCATTGCATGTGGACAGACAGTGTTTGTACACATAGTGAAAGTTCAAGGTGTTCTAAGCAATGGCTTACTGCAGCACTTCCCCTCCTAGTGTAGACAAGGCCAGAGTGGTCTGTCCCAGTCGGTTCTCTAGAGCTGTCTATCCAAATTGGGGATGGTAGGATTTTCTCTTCCTGACTGGCAGAGTCCAAAGTAATCCAGAAAATAATACTTGGACATTAGTTTCCTCTAATGGAGTCGTTTTATCTAATATCAAACCTGAGGCCTCTCTCACACGGACTCGCTGTCTAGAGGGCGCAAGCAGCCTGCCTGATTTCAGTCACAACCTTGCAGTTCACAGGAAGGTGGGATTGAGCACTGACGTGCTGTCTGACTGTCTGCAGAGCATCATGCTTACATTAATGTATCTCTTAAGGATGTTAGCGCTGTTGGTCAGTGGGTGTCAGATTTCCGGCTTGGATATGAGCATCAAGGATTGTTCAGTTCAGGGTTCCTCTGAGCCTTGATTAACATTCACAGTGTGTGAGCTCCGAACGGGACATCTGTAGGCTCCAGAAATTAAGGACAGGTTCTTGCACCAGTTGCAATCACTTCAGTTTTTATTTCCGACCCACTGTTTCAGTTTCCCCCAGTTAGTTTCAGAGCCTTCAAATGCTACCTGCCCTGCTGGAGGAATACCATTGAGTAACAGAGTACACTCATTTCCTGCCAAATATTTGGCATTTTGAGTTTCCAGGACTGTGTGGAAGGGTCGTCTATGATTCTTCAGCAACATTTGTTCTGTAACATGTGTAGAGGCTGACTGATATTCTCTCCACCTTACATCCACTTTGGACAGCTTAAGATTTCAACTGGGGCCAGGGCTCATCACAGCAGTGCCTTATCTTTAGGGGTCCAAGTGGTGCTCTGGGAAAAGCATAGATTATTACTATTTATTCTTATTTATGATTTGTATTGTGGTATCCCCTGGGAGCTTCAGTCATGAACCAGACCCCGTTGTGCTAGGCACTGTACAAACACAGGACAGACAGACAGTGCCTGCTCCAAATGCCTTACAATGTAAGTGAGACAAGGGGGGTGAGGTGATATCTTTTATTGGGCCAACTTCTGTTGGTGAAAAGACGTGCTTTCAAGCACACAGGGAGCTGTTCTTCAGGTCTGGGAAAGGTCTGAAGAAGAGCTCTGTGTGAGCTTGAAAGCACGTCTCTTTCACCAACAGAAAAGGCGTAATAAAAGAGAGTTCTTCACCCACCTTGTCTCTTTTCTGTCCTGGGGCTGACACAGCTATACGCTGCAAACTACAATCTAAGTATAAGACAAGAGGCAACAGGAGAAGCACAAGGAAACAGAAACAATACTGGTCACTACGATAGGCAGCCTCAGGTGCTCTGCTGTAATTTGGCCTCAGTTTAAGATGAGCTGGAGCTCCCTGCATGAAGCTACCCTTAGACCAGCATGGTGCCTGGTTAGTGACTCATCCATTCTGACGTGATTAATAGTCAAAATCTTCCCGTTGAAGAGGTTCTTGCTTGTGTGATTTGATGGCTGTTGGCAGGGCTGGTGTGGTGGTGAGAGCTGGGTCAGAAGCCTGCAGAGGCTGAGTTTGTAACTTTCAGCCTGCATAGCCAGCTATAAATATCTCCTTTCAACTGTCTACTTTGCTAGTCCTGTAACTTAGGGTAGGTCTATACTTACCTCCGGGTCCAGTGGTAAGCAATCGATCTTCTGGGATCGATTTATCACGTCTTGTCTAGACGCGATAAATCGATCCCGGAAGTGCTCGCCGTCGACACCGGTACTCCTGCTCGGCGAGAGGAGTACATGGAGTCGACGGGGGAGCCTGCCTGCCGCGTGTGGACCCGCGGTAAGTTCGAACTAAGATAGTTCGACTTCAGCTACGTGAATAACGTAGCCGAAGTTGCGTATATTAGTTCGAAGTGGGGGGTTAGTGTGGACCAGCCCTTAGTTTCATTTGCATTAAGAACATAACATAAGAACGGCCGTACTGGGTCAGACCAAAGGTCCATCTAGCCCAGTATCCTGTCTGCCGACAGTGGCCAATGCCAGGTGCCCCAGAGGGAGTGAACCTAACAGGCAATGATCAAGTGATCTCTCTCCTGCCATTCATCTCCATCCTCTGACAAACAGAGGCTAGGGACACCATTCCTTACCCATCCTGGCTAATAGCCATTAATGGACTTAACCACCATGAATTTATCCAGTTCTCTTTTAAACGTTGTTATAGTCCTAGCCTTCACAACCTCCTCAGGCAAGGAGTTCCACAAGTTGACTGTGCGCTGCATGAAGAAGAACTTCCTTGTATTTGTTTTAAACCTGCTGCCCATTGATCTCACAAGAGGAATTCATTTACACTGACTATCTGGCCTGTCAAAATTAATCTCCATTTGGACCGTGGGATGAAAAACAAACTTCCTAAAAGTAAGAGATCAGACTTCCCAACACAAATGGCAATGACTTTTTTTATTGTAACCCTATACCATTGAATGACCTTAACATTCCAGCTTGACAAAGCCCTGGCTGGGATGATTTAGTTGGGAAGTGGTCCTGCTTTGAGCAGGGGGTTGGACTAGATGACCTCCTGAGGTCCCTTCCAACCCTGAGATTCTATGATTCTATAGCCTGTGTTCTCGTATATACACCTGCAAAGCGCTGTGAGCTTGACCAGCCTAATAACAACCATTCCTCAGAGCCTTCCTCCAGGAGCTGAGTAAGTTGCATGCCCATTTTGCAGGTGAGGAAACTAACAGGGGAAGTGATTTGCCCAAGTTCTGTATCATTGTTCCAGCTGGTATTAAACTCCGGGGTGCCTGGCCCATTAGACCACATGGTCACTCGTTTAGTTTGCAGGTAGCAGTGGGAATACTCATTCAGTATGCATCCAGGTGAGTGACTGAGCAAAGCCAAACAAGGCTGGAGAGGTAACTGAGAGTCTGTGATTTGTTTTGTGAGCAGCTATTTCTGTAAACAGGACAGAGCAAGCAGGACAGTGATTTGATGCTGATCAATTCTGACCCTCTGCCAGCTGGATTATCACACTGGATACAAGCTCCAATAAGATAGAAGAGAAAATGTAGGTTCTCTCAGTGACAGCAACTCCATCTGCAAGTGGGCGATTGCCCCCCTCCCACCAGTCAGGAGGTCTGTGTAGCCTTACTGCTAGCATGTACAGTGCCTTGTCTGCCTTATGCACGCCAGCAACACATCTTGCAACAGCTGCCTGTGTTTTCTCTTCCTTTCATGCGGGGCCTTTTCCAGCAACCAAGCAATTAAAGGATGAAATTTCGCTGTGGTTAGCACACACGGGCTGTTTGCCTTAGCACAAGCC